TTTTCTAACATAACCTTAATGCTGTGTTAGCATCATTTTTCTGTTCATTCCATCTGCTCTTAGGTCTCCCCCGCTGTTTCCTAGGAGATATATTGCCATGATGCCTGCATCTGTAAGGCAGTGGCAGATATGGGGCAAGAGCCACATGGTTAGAGACAGCATTAATGCCACCTGAACATTTGCTGGGTTCTCAGGGGATCCCTCCACCCACCTGAGGATTCTCAAAACCTGAGGGAGCCTTAGTTACACAGTCATCTGCTTCACAGTGCTAAGGGAATGTAATGCTGTGGCTTCTCAGCTCCTTTCCATTTCTATTTGCTTCTTTCAGACTAGAACCTCTACTAAAAAACAAACAAACAAACAAACAAAAAACCTGAAATAGTTATTTTTGTTCAGTTGGCCTATTTGTTTGGTGACCATTCTAATTCTGTCATCTATAAAATTTTATGACTTTTTTTTTTCCCCAAACACATCTGATATAAAATTCCTGCCTTTTTCATATCTTTGCAGGTATGGTTTAAGAGATGAAATCCAAAATGTAATAGCAAGCATGATAAACTGGATATTGCAATTAAACAGTGCTGACACAGAATATCAGGGTTGCTAAGTCTTGCCTTGTGCTCTGGTCCATGGTCTTCCCTTGGTAACTACAGATAAATCTGATTATGACTAACAAAATGTGTAGGCCACATTTCTAAAACTATGCCTGCTTTTCACAAGTGACCTAAACTCCAGCAAGAAATTCTTAAGTACAGTTAGAAAAAGATAATATGGAAAATAATTAATTTTTGCCCATCTGTATAAGTCATTCTATGGTTTATTTTAAATTTTATTCAGCTTTGCTTTCTTAGCAGGGGAAATAGGTAAACAGGAATTGTTTACATCAAACAGCTAATGTGTTTTTATTTAGGCAGAACTGTGAACAAAACAATGTATTTTCTAAATATATGCAAACAAAAAGAGAATTTATGAAAAAATCAACATAATATTAATCAATAACTTGTTGGGAGTAGAGAATCTGTTCATTAAATGGTAACAGACACATAATAAAGCTTTATTGTTTGAATGCCAAATGTCCACACATAGAAAAAATAAAACCGATGTTCCCAATGGGAAGAAGAACATTAAGAAACAGATTATATAGCAAGAGATCCATTACAGCAAAACCTACGAATCACTCATAGATATTTCCCCAAAGAAAGCTGTCAGTCTCTTCGAAGTAAAAACTTATTGCTTTTGTAATCATTTTTATCAGAACATCTCACAGTATATGTGAAATAACATATACTTGAGCATTTAGGTTATACATGAAAAATGTTACCTTTCCCTAATTCAAGAGACTTCATTTTAACATTACAACTAAATTCAGCTGTGAAAAGGCTATCCCTAGTGTGTCAGTTGCATTACAGGTATCCTCACATTTAAATGAGATGGGTCAAACACGTAACACTAAGATTTACCCTGGAAAAGAAAACAAAAAACAGAAAGAAATACTGAAGTAAATTAGTATGCTTATCATGCCTAGTATAACGCTGATTATATTGAAACATGATATGTAATTAATTTTGTAATATTCGTCCAAATTCAGTCTTCAGTGACCTGTGCTTCAAGACAGAGTCTTACAAAACAGATCTCTTACAAAGTTTGACATATTAAGAAGGCTTTGAGTAAAGTTCTGGAAAATCTTGGACAAACATACTGAAAACAGCAGCAGATTTCTGAGCAGGGCCTTCAATAAAATGCATGGCACATTGGGCTAAGAAGGAATAAAGTAGCAAGGCATTTCTGCTAAAAAAGTTTTTTTTTTTTTTTGGTTTTTTTTTTTTTTTTTTTGCTATTCCAATCCAAATCTTCCTAAAGGAACCAAACCACTTCACACACACCCCACACCCCCCAGACCTAGACCCAGACCTAGACCACTGGACTAATGTTGGTGTCCTTGAGTTACAATTTACATACTTAAACTGGAGAAACATTCATTTTTAAACAAGAAATACCAGAAATGGAAAAGGTGTGGTAACTTTAAAGAATTTAAACTACTTCTACATGATCTTTTTTTACTGAAAACGGCAGAATTTAGCTGAACCAAAGACAGTGTAATATTCAAACTCAGTCTTCACTAAAAAAACTTTTTGTCTCAGTTTATGTAAAAACTTCAATAATATATTCAACCTTGGTGCAGTGTTTAATGAAGATAGAGAAAACTAGAGAAAACTAGTTTGTGGAACTCTGCAAAGAGTTCTGTTTGTTATAAATACATGTTCAGTATGCTTAATTCACACACTATTCAACTTTAAAATGAAATTAATCTTTGACTAGACTTAAAAACACACATTCTCAAAGGGAATATACACACACAATAGAGCTTGGGACAGTTTAAATTCAGAAGCAAAGCCAAATCACAATATGCTAAAACAGAACATTCTTCAACTTTGTGAACATCAGCAGCCTACTATGGACACTAACTGGGTGCCCCAATAATATAAAAATTGTATGGATATAAGAATGAGAATGGAATGGAATAAATAAATTATACTTATATATATATATATTTATATATATGTTATATATAAATAATATTTATGGTATATCACATTTCTCAATTTTTCCCTAATACTTTGAAAAAGCTGAGTTCATCTTACCATAAAACACCACCTCAGTCTTTTGTACAGAAAAAAAAAAAAAAGTTGACTCGAATAGTATGTTATTCTTCATAAAATTAAACCCCATTTTTTTTAATCTATAGTAAGTAACAATATCCCAGAAAAAAAAAAAAATCTAAAAATGTTTTTCATCTTAAACCATAGCTACGGCACAGATCTTCTTTCTAAGGTTCTCATTTCCATATTGAATTTTCCAGCTCAGCAAAATGAAAACATATTTTTTTTCCTACAGATGTCAGCACTGTAACCTATGTCTAAGGACTAAAAATCAAACAGTGGCTTCTTCTGGTCATATATGAACTTGGAAAATATAGAATTCAGAGCTTGTTTTGAAATGCATCTGATACCAAAGTGGATCTGCATTTACAAACATACCAAAGCCATGGCCAGGTCTGATTATTTTAATTCGATTAAGCACTTGCTAAACCTTGGCTTTTGCTGGACATTTTTTTGATAGCGCATTCATAGGCCAGTCTCTTACAGTTACAAAAAATTCACAGGTCAGTGGACGTAGTGACAAAAAGAATTTTGGTCTAACAGGGAATATCTTCCTTGGTATAAAAAGCGTATTCTGCCTTTGATCCATTAGAGGTACTCCCTGGCTAGAAGCTCCCTGGTGGTACGTGTATCAAAAACAAGACATGGACTCAAAAAGAAGACAAGTGTAGTAAAAAGAGATATTTTACAGTATTTTTTCAGGCCATATATTCAAAACGTAAACCTTGTGATGTGTTGTTTTTTCTGTCGATAATTTCCACTGGACATCTCCATTCTTAGGATCTGTAGTTCTTAAAAATAAGTCAATATAATATCTCTACACTTTTAGGAGTTCGGGAAGCAGAAGTGAGGGAGCTCAAGGAGATTAAGATTCATAAAATGGATCAAGATTAAGGGCATCTTTGAGTTCAGTGTTCCCAGACTGAAACATTGGAGTAAGGCTTCCAAAATACCCAAGTAGTGTGTTCTCAAACGCATATATGTCTGGTGTCTTCAAATCCTGATTCCACAATGGCACTACAACCAGCAACGTTTAGCTACAGAAACTTACTACTTCTTGAAATACATAATTAAAGAGTATAAATGGCTATGCATATCATTGCTTAAATTCTAGAGAAGCTAAATCCTTCTGCCTTCCTCTATTACTGGTGTTCTGAAGTCACCTGCACATTTCAGACTTTTTTATCCCCTGAATAAAGTCTCCAAGACTCATGTGTTTTCCTTCTGCAAAACCATATTTTATTCATTTACATTTCTACACATTTTCAGAACGTTAAGTAATATTAATATCTTAATTTCAATAATTTTGTTAAATTTTATATTGGAAATTATGGATATTTTGAATGTTTTTCAAAGTACAGCTAGGTGGCTTCTATTGAATTTATGATACTTCAGGCAGCAAAGTTTCTAAGAACTCATTTGAAAAGAAAAAATATTTAATTATAGATATGTTATAGAAACACTAGTCATAGCAGAATGATGAAGGTATTTCATTAGATATTGGTAAAATTAATACAAGCAGTGTATTATGTAGTTTAAAATGATGGGATAAAGAATTAGTTAACAGATACTTGCTCACTCCAAGCCATAAAATCTCCAAACCCTTCATATCACATATAGACCTACTCATGAATTGCATTCTATTTTATATCCCAAGCTGTCATGTAGCTATAGTTAATTTTAAACAGGCACTTGTTGTCACTTCTGAATGTTGCCTAGCATCACTAGGCACTGGGAAGTTCCTCAAAACAATGACACGGTTGCTCTACATGAAAGAGGCAAATCATGAATATCTTCACAAAGCCTGAGAACAGACTACTAATAAATCTGCAATCTATTGCTAAGTAAGGTATGCAGGGTTGTTACTTTCTTATAGCTACATCATCCAGAGATTTAACAGTTCTATAGCTTGTTATATCTTTGTGCACTTTTTCAAGAGTAGTACTCTAACTTCTAAGCAATTTCTACTTGCCTTTTGAGTACAAGCATGTTAATAAAAAGACAAAAACACTGTAGCACAATCCTATTACAACTATTATAATGAACCCGAATTTGTGCTTTTGATGTTGAGTCTTTGAACTTTTTTGCTTTGAAATTTAGTTAGAAAACATACAAGTCTACCACAGAGAGCACAGCTTATCCAGAGGGAACAATACCAAAAGGGATTTTTGGAGGGGAAGACATGACTATGAAACATTGAAAATACTTTTCTGTTAACAGTCTACCAAAACTGCCAAGTCCTATAAATTAAGGTGTAAACAAATGCAATTATTTTAATCCAAACACAAATAAAATAAAGGCATCAATATTTAAGTGCAAATGTTATGCTATCTATCATACCTTGTTATGTGTCTGAGTTTGTCCAACCAGGATAAGGATATTCGATGAGATAATAGAAAGGCAGAAATTGATTAGAATTATTGACCTCTCAGATCTGATGTACCTGTTCAAATAATTAAAAAAAAAAAAAAAAAGGAGTGTAAAACTTTTCTAAATGGAAAACAACTAGTAAATCATGCAAAACTTTATGTAATTCTTAGAAATGTTAGAGAGATGTACTCTAAAAACTTTCATGTGCTCAGAGTATCAGTGAGATATCATGGTTCAAACATAAGAACTATGGTATTTGGATAGATATTCTGCAATTCCCTCTTAGTTTCTTGCTATATTAAAAAAAAAAAAAAAAGATTCTATCAATGCTTCTTTTCAAAACTTCTGGCAACACTTTTCTGACACCATACGGATGATAATGGGATTGGATGCATTCATGTAATTTATTCTCCCTGCTCATCCCTGGGAATATCCACAGCTGGCATAGACGAGTCACCAAACTAACTTCAGAGAAATGTGGTGATTTACATGAAGAGAAGATCTGGTCCACAATGCATAACTAAGATGCAGATTGGTTGATGATACTATAGCAGTGCACTTTGAAATGCATTATTGTTATAACAACAACATTAGTCTTGAAGTTCCACCACATTTACAAATAATTTGTGTGGAGAAGTAATAATACTGTAAGATCTTCATCTTCATAAAACCTAATGCCAAAAATAGCTCGTGCTTGTACAGGAAGATTTAAATTACAGCAGTGAGCATCACACACTCTCTTGCCAACTTATTGCACTCATTTTACAAGTATGCTTAGGATGAAAAAGTACAAATACTCTTATTACCTACTTCCTTACAAGATGCAAATGTTCTCATTTTTCTGTATACAGCTTTTATATACTAGAGCACAGAAAGAGAATAATGATGGTTTCAATTGAAGTACCTTACTGACCCAATTTTCAGAGCTGCTAACAGAGTAAATTTGACTACTAAAGTTAATGAAAGTTAAGGGTGATCAGTTCTCTGAAGACTATGCCATATATTAACATATTTTATGACTATATTATGACTATATATATATTATACTATATAATTATCAACTGAGCTTAGTTAATATTGCTTTCTCCTCCTGAGCTGTACACCCATAACTGACACTCTGAGGTCATAGCAAGGGGTGATGTACCCATAAGAGATGCTCAACTTTGGACCTGTAATAAATCATAGTCCTTTTTACTCAGCTATCATTTAAATTACCATTACATTTTTTAGATAAGAAAACAGAACAACCCTCATACCACAATTCACATGTTTTTCTAGAAATATAGCAGTGCTGTTAAGGCTAAGTCTGTGTTTGCAAACAAATACAGGAAGTCTAATGCCTTTGTATAGATGGACAGTATGCTGCAACTTTATAATTTGTTAACTATTGATTCACGTGGGACAGATCCCAACACTGAGTATCTATGGCCTATAAAGGATCTTAGTGGTTGAGTAAACAGGAGGAACTCAGAACACTGACTTAAACTAGAACGATTTTATTTTTTCTGCCAATGCAATAGTGTTGGCCCTTATTACTATGGAGGGGAAGTTGAAGTGAAGGGAAGGGAAGGCAAGAGAAGATACAGATATAGGTATGGGGTCAAAATATAACGTTTCTCCCCACCTCCAATTTTGTAAAAATAAGCAGTGAATCAAATATACATATAAATTCCATGGTCTATCTTCTCCTTACAGTTGGCTACTATGTGCTCTCAAGAAACTTGTTCAATGCAAATTTTAATGATGCAAATGACAGACCACTCAGTAATCATAATACTTTCAAAATATCTCCCTGATAGAACATGGAGATTTTTCTGAGTTATATTCTCTTCAGCTGGATGGATGCAGAACCCTTGTTAGGTCCTCCATAATATACCACATACATTTTTTCTCAACTCTGAAGTTAACATAGTGGAGTAGACAAGTTCCACTGAGCATGACAGTATTTCCTTCCAAGTGCTAAATATATCAGGGAGTGCAAAAATAACACTATAATATCTCAGATAGGAATATCCTGAAATACTCTCATTCTTAGCTTTGACAGATAATAACTGATAATTCTTATACTTAAAAAAAAAAATATTATAACTTTTGTAACTAGATATTCTATATTTACTATATATGTGTCTAGTTCTGTGAATCTCTGTGCCTGAATTAGAGAAAGAGAAAAGGGTGTAAAATTACCAAACTGCTTCTAAAAGCAAAATCCTATTACCTGATTTTACATTACTTTGAAATTTACTATTTTCTCCCTGTTTTTCTTCTTCTTTAGTTGAGAACCTACTTTTCTTGTATTATGAATCAAAGTTAAGTGAAAACTCATGTTCTCTCTCTCTCTTTCTCTCTCTTTTTTTTTTTTTTTTTTTTTTTTTGGGGGGGGGGGGATATATTTATTACTTTATATCACACTTCCTCTCACTTTTCTATATCTTCCACACTAATATATGAAGTTATTTCTCATCTCAAAATTAATCACATCACAAATTCATTTTCTCCATGATTATCTATTGCACTTTTAAGTCAATCTAATTTTGTCATGTATTAAACTCAGGACGGACAGAAAGTACATTACTGGACTGTACCACCACACTATTTGAGACTGCTTCACTTTCTCACAGGAAACATGTCTTGTAGAAAAAACATGTAAAATGCTTACTGGCACTATAAATACCTCACTGAAAAAGCAATATCATTCACACTGAAGAGGGTAAAGTAAAGTGGGCTATACCATTGCCAGTAGGCCAAGAGTGGAAAACTAATCGATCACATCAAGAGATACAGAAATCAAAACATGCACTACATTTTATAATTAGTATAATTATCATTTTTAAAATAAGAAACGTTTCATCTAATAGTCTCTTTAAATTTTAATTCAACTAAATATAACTATGCATTCACATTCAACTTTGTCAATCCATTACATACCTCCATAACGCTGCATAGACAACTGCTAGGGTGATCAAGGCCAAGCATGAAAGACCACTGCCTACTATTAAGGTTACTGAGGGTGTACCAGATGATTCCATGATCTGCAGGTTACAACAGATAACCATGAAAGAAAACCATACTCCAGCAATTAAAACAACAGTTCAACACAAGAAAGCTCTAAAAGCAAAATCCAGCAACTCTGTCAGAGATAGCTTCATAATATTCATATTCTGCTTCATAATATTACTTATGAAGCAGAAATCAACTTAATTCCAAAAATGATCCATACGTAAGTCTGAGATTTGTTTAATTATTGATACAATCCTCAGAGGCCTTTGAGCTTTAAAATACCTTAGAATACCCGCATAATATCTAAAAAACAAAAATAAAATAAAATACAAAAATAGTAATATTGCAATGTAATAGAAGATTATAACATAAATGCAAGTTTGAAGTACCCATTAAAATCAATTTTAAAATTTGAGAAACAGCAACATTTGGAATTGTGTATTAAAGAAACAGCTTGGTTTTACCCTAACATATTAGAGATCATCCTGTAATTTTTCCCAGAATTTGGTTCATGCTTATTGCAGAATTATCAAACTTTCTGACTTTTAATAACTTTGACTTCGATCTACTATACTCACACACTTAATTTGCTTGGGCCTCTGACCATCTAGAAGGAATGGCAAGATATCTATGGCAACAATAACATAAGCCTTACATAAAGAAAATGGAAATTTAAAATTAACTCATTTCTACTCTGTGTATTAATAAAATATGAAAATAAATAAATGACCTTGAAAACAAACTATCTTTTCCTGCCACAAAATAAGCTATTATCATCAGATATCAGGTAAGGTTTTCCCTCCATGTGTAGGTGTTCATGTTCAGCAATAGACATGGTCCTTGCTAATAAAAATGGGAAAAAGAAAAAAAAAAAAAAGATAGACCTAAAAGTTTAAAATGGTCCAGTGTCTGGTTTACAAAAATGCTCAGGGAGGTATTGTAAATTACATTTTATCGAGATATCTTTTGTCACCCAAATAGGAGATAAGACTGATGTACTTTTAGGCCACATCTGAGGCAGAAAGTAACATTTTATTCCAGCCACTTTGTTCCAAAAAAGAGTCTGATCATATGCTTCTAAAGCCAGGAACATTAAATTATACCATAGCATGATAACTTCACAAATATTTGCTTTTGAGCTATTTTTATATTCAATATTGCTGTGTCTGCTCATATACTTTATGTTCCCTCTTCTACATGAAAACTTATTTATTTTTGTTACATTGTATCAACAGCTACATAGAAAATCTGTGCTGAAAATGTCCAATGCAGATCTGCAATCTGTTTAACTACAGTATCTAGGGTTATCCTACCAAGAGAAATAATAAAGCCCTGTACAATCTCTGAAAAGGCTTGCAACCTTTAAAAAGCTTGTTAAGTTGATAATTGTTCAATACAAAAGTTTTCAACACATTTGCATTACAATTAGAAGTCTTTCTCTGAGAAATCCAGAGTTCGAGAACATGTAAATTTCACTAGGATTTAGTTATATCACGGAATCTGGAATTCGCTTCTCTGAGACACTGTAGCCACCAGAAACTAACAACGTTAGCCTACCTGGAATATTAAACAATTCCTCAATTCAACGTCTCAAATATACCTGAGAGGAAATCTCGACCACCCTCCCCTCACCCCCCCCGCGCTATTGCCTTTTGCATTTAAACTGGATTTTTTTTTTTCCACCCCCCTTTGTTACTTACTATTTCTCTAGGTTGCTGAGCCAAAATGGCGAAGGTAGAGAGACGATCACATAAGCATTTCGTATGGGATGCATCGGTAAGCACAGTTTTACATCCCTGGGTGGACCAGGTTCCCAAAGAGTCGTTCCTGCAAAGGAGAGAGAGAGAGAGAGGGGAAAAAAAAAAAAAAAAAGAAAAAAAAAATCGGGATAATTACGCCTGACGGCTAATTCCGGGAGGAGACAATGCAGCTGAAATCGCGAGGAGAGTGTAGAGTGTAGCGTGTAGTTCCCGGACAGCGGAGAGGCACTTCGAGTGGGGCAGCGCCGGCACCGGCGGCGGCCCCGCCGCGCAGCGGGGCGCGGAGCGCAGAGCACGGAGCGCGGAGCGGCGCGGAGCTGTCCGGCGCCGTGGTGCTGAAAGCCCGGCGCGCTGCGCTGCGCGGAGCCCCGCCAGCCGCGGCAGCAGCCGCCCCCTGCGCTGCCAGCCACCTCCGAGCCTCACCAGAGCACTGCGAAAAACTCATCGGGGGAAGAGGGGGAGGCTTTTTCTCTCTCTCTCTCTCTCTCTCTTTTTTCTCTCCATACCAGCTCAGTTTCTGGCCCCTTTTGCAAAAAAAAAAAAAAAAATGTGGTGATCGCTACTTGTAGTGTCTTTTATTTTCTTTGTTTGTTTTCTTTCTTTCTTTTTTTTTTAATTATTTTTATTTTTTTATTTTTTTCTTCATTGTGTGTGTGTGGATAGTTTTAAAGGCAGATGGTTCTCAAACGCCTGTCTGGGTTATGCCAGTTGGACAGGGAGATGCTGGATCTTCTGTTCTGATGGCTATTTTTGCCGTGGATTTTTTTTTTTTTTAGGTTGTTGTTTTTAGTGATCAGCCTTGGAAATTTCACCCTGGAAACGGCAGCATCAGATGCCTCCAACTCTTGCCTGAGCTCCAGCAGAGGGGTGGATTTCAGTACAGCAGCACACAACATCACCAAAGAAACACACGAGTTCGCCCTCCAGACATCACTCAGTCAACTCGCCTTCCCCTAGCTCCCTCCCCCTTCCCGATTTCTTTTTCTTGGGGTGGCAGCACCACGCTAACCCCAAGCCAAAGAGATCATTAGCTGGCACTTTTCACCAACCGCCCCTAAACAAAACAAGATGATTAACACAGCCCCCGAATTCAATTAGACATTCAATATGCTAATGCGAGGTCTGAAACCCACCCCAGCATAACAATAAAAATGGTATCAACCCACGTTTTCTTTGTGCGGGCAAGGAAAGAGGGAGGGAGAGACAAAAAATCAGTTATCCTTTTTTCATGGATTACGGGGGGATGGGGTGGGATCATTTCTACAGGAAAAAAGGGGTTGATTTCAACTAATTCAAACCTATTATCTTTACATATGTTACGTTTAAAGAACACCAATTGGGTTCTTGTTTCCCCTCCTTTCATGTCCAGGGAGCAACTGCAGGACTCTGCTGGCAGCAGCACCGTGTGCGCTGTCAATTCCTGTCAATATCACCTCAGGTCACTAAATGACTTGAAAACACAGAAACGAAGGTGGAGGAATAATAATTTCCAGTCACTGGGATCACCCTTGTTTCACCTCTTCTGCCTCAACAATCCACCCTTGTGAGTGGCTGTACGTGTCAGGGCCCTCATGCAAAGAAAATTTGTTATCCCAAATCCACTCGGAATGCAGTTAGCCCTAGCCCACCTCGGCATTGTGCGCCACTAGCTTTTGAACGCACAACAGATGTAACCCTTACGCGCTATTGTCTCTAGAACAGTGCCCTGTAATAAGCAAAACAAAAGGCAACTGAGGGAAACAATTGAGAGAAAATCACCAATTCTTCAAGCTACTAAAACTGTCTGCTAGCTTTCCTTCACAAATTGTGTCTTTCAGAGAGCCACATGCTAAATAACATCTACTTTGAAAAATGTAGTTACACATTCTATATTCTGAGGCATTATCTTCTGGACAACCTAACCAATTTACTTTATTAACTTTCCTGCTTCTTATCTTATTGTGACACACAGTTAAGGCCAAATGAAATACATTTATCTGTGCTGATTAAATATTAAATAATGATAGCTTAAGAGAAATTGACATATTTTTAAAACAAAAGGAAGATATTATTCATTCTGAGAATAAGATTTAATATACTGAATTCACCCTATGCTGAAAAGTACAGTGCATCCAGTTAACACTAAATCCTTGCAGATGGTGTCCAATGTGGAGATTTATACAAGTTCTAATTATAAAAGTTAGACAACCACAGAGATCAGCTTAATTTAAAACAAAACATCTGTTACAATTATAATTATATTTAAATTAGTATAAATCATGGGCAGTCCACCAGGTTTAGAGGGCTAGATTCTTCTCCTCAAGTCACTCATGCAAACGTAAAATTCCAGTCACACGTTATTTGAGCAGTTTACTGTAGCGCTATATCACCAGATATTACAAATACACTACATATTTTGCAAAACTACTTGAATATTATTGAAAAATTTGGTGGAATTTCCAAAAGCACTCTGGAGTGAAGGAAGTACTCTAATTGAACTTAACAGTAAGACATTCATTGACAGGGCAGCAGCAGAGTCAGGATAATATTTACACTTTTTGCATTTCATTGTTCATATGTTTTCAATGACACACTTCTATTTCTTGCCCAGCAGCATTATGTTTCAATATGTAACAGATGAAAATTCAGTGATTAAATAAGGTCTAGCTCTTCTTTCTAACCGATGCAGTTGAAAAAAAAAAATCATTAATAAATATATTTGTAGCCTGTTGAAATGATGGCTGACAGAAGCTGTGCAGATTTTTACACTAACTCCAGGAAGAAGACAGAATAATGAGCAGAATCCAGTGGAAAAGTGTAACTGAAATTTGTTGCATGATGCTCACGCCTGCAGAACAGTAAATGTATGATTACTTACTCAGAAATGCTGGACATTTTGACTTGCTAGCATAAAATCAGTATTTGATTTTAGGTATAAAGTAAATAAGGAATGGAAATATGGATTTAAAACAGATATCTGATAATCAGTAGATCTCAATGCTATGCTTGTTGATCAAGTCCTTCACCTGTGATAATCTGTCCCTCTAGTAAGACAACCCTCCTGGGCTTGTCAGAATCTGTCACATATTCAGAAGTTTCATTCCTTTTTGGTGTGATTTTCTTTGAATATGTGTCTAATGTTTAGGGTTATATGAATATGCAAAAGGACACCTATTACTCCTGTGGATCTTTCTTCTTATGCAGAAGCTATAAAGGAGTGACAGGTACTATTAACACAAGTTCTATTTATAGCAAGGAAAATTATCAAATTGAAAATATGTAGCAAATATAGATGTAGGTTCATGCCCATTATTGGCAATTTTGTACTGTTCCACTGAGCTACAGATGATTTAATCAACCTGGCAGAATTCCCATGATATAAGCAGAGGAATTCCCAAGAAGCATAGATTCACCATTGCGGATCCTGTGTCATTCTGCAGTTTAGGCATGGGAAAAAGTGGGGAAAGCAGGTAAACAGGAAAAAAAAAGTCAGAGTAGGATGTAATTCAGCCCCATGGATCTTTGGCTAATATGGCATAAGCCCCCCCAAAAACCTGCTTCTGATTATGTCCTTCTCAGGGTAGTCTTGACAGTTAGAGAAATGCTAGAGTGTCTTTTCAAAACCCTTTTTGAGTTTAATGTAAACTTTTTATTTCTAATCAAGAATTGGAAATAAATTTAATAAATAAAATTTTATTTGTGCAATAAAAATAATGGGCAAATGATGTACAGAAAAGTATTTTAATTGTATGTGATATAGCAGAAATAACGTGATTTTTACTGTTTAATACTGTATTATGCATTATTGCATGATATATAAGTGTTTCCTCCTACTGAAAACAATGACATGACTGTCTGAGATATTGAAATGGAAATACAGTTTATAGGATAGGAGCAGTTTTGTAGAATAAAAGACACAAATAATTCACAGACACAACTACCAACCTGACACAGACTGATGATCAAGCTGCACTTATTATGCTAACAGTTATGTTTCCCCTATTTTGCAGCATTTTTCTTGGTCTTATGGCATGACTTATCAGTTATTATTCACATATGTTGTTAAATTTAATAATATACATCTTACTAATTGTATTGTTCTATCTACTTTAACATAACGATGAATAAAAATCAGCTATGACATTGCTGTCAAAACCACTCACTTAGTGAACAACTTAACCACATAATGTACACTGTCTACCTTATTAGTTTACTTTGAAGGATTTTATCCAATGTATCCAATTTATTTTTTATTTCATTTTATTTATTTATTTATTTTTAGGGACATGCTTTAAGAGGCATGAAAGAAAAAGGAAATTATTTATGGATAATACTGTTAACTATTTTTTCCATACTGGCAACTAGTGATTCAAGTAGTGGCTTGGGTTTTTGAGTGTCATAAACAAATAGTTAACATCTTGGCTATACATGCAGCATGTTAGCTTACTTTAGTAATATATTTGATGACTGATATATGTGTTTAATGTGCAACAGGAGATTACATATTGCATATTACATTACTTTAACACAGTAGAAAGCAGAATACACAGAAGCTAGGAAATTATAACATTAATTCTCATAAGGTCATCTAAATTCTCCTCACTTTTGGAGCAAGCACATTATTGTACATTGTTTTCTGTTCAGCCAGGTGCTGTTTTTCCATTAGGAACAGACTTTGGTATTCCAATTTTATTTTCAGTGACAAATAATCACAAATAATGAAGACAGGGAAAATGCAGACAATATTTTTTTAGCCCAGCAAAAGATAGAAAATAAACTTATGGCCCTTATGAGTAGCAGATTATGTACACCATGGTGCCTGTTCAGATGTGCTAGCTGGCATATTAGTGAAGATAAAGTCCTTTCAACACCTGCTTACTTCTTTACACCTGGATTTAAAACCTCAGGGAAGCCATAGGGAAGGCTGAACTGCAGGAGTCTCCTTTCAGTTGTGCATGTCCATATGTCTCAGGCTTGACCTAATCCTTAGTATGCATAATTTCTGCTGTGATCAATCTTATTCCTACCAGTAGTACATAGCAACATCTGTTTTATTTCCACAGTTTTTCCTAATGTAAAAACAAACAA